GCGGGCGGGGGCCGCGGGGCCCGGCGGGCGCGGCTGACGCGGCGCTGTCCCCGCAGTTTACCTGCGCTGCACCGGCGGCGAGGTCGGAGCCACGTCCGCGCTGGCGCCCAAGATCGGACCCCTGGGGCTGGTACGTACCGGGGACGGGGCGGCTGGGGGAGCGGGGCTGGGGGGGGAGGATGAAACGTGTGCCGGGCGCCGTGGGAAGCGTGTCCCGCTGGGGGAACGAGTGCGTCCGCGGGGGATGGAAGCGTGGCCCGGGCGGGGGGATAAAGCGCTGGGGCTCTCGGCTCTAACCCGAGCCTGCGTGACCGCCGCGTGTCTCCCTCAGTCCCCCAAGAAGGTGGGCGATGACATCGCCAAGGCCACGGGCGACTGGAAGGGGCTGCGGATCACGGTGAAGCTGACGATCCAGAACAGGCAAGCGCAGGTACCGCACGCCGCAGGGGCCGGCCGCTGCTGCAGGCGTGGAGCCCGCCCGGGCTCCGCCTGCTCCCGGCACCGGCCCGGATCCCGGCAGGGTCCACTCAGCCCTTCATCCTTCCGAGGTGGATAAAATGAGTGCCACACACGGGGCGTGTGGGGGTCTTCTGGGAAGACCTTAAAACGTGGGTGGGGGGATGTGTGTGGACTGGGGCTTTGTCAGGCTGGAGGATCCCGATAAGAGATCCTCATCTACCAAAATTTATTTTTCATCCTCTTGCAGATAATTTGTTCTTTCTAAAGACTATGGAACTAGCAAAAGCACCTTACTTAAAGCATCACAGAAATAAATAATTTAAAATCTTGCCAACTCCTGTAGCCACCTGCCACCGTACCTGTTCTGATGTCTGTGGCTGGTACATTCCAGTGGTGAGCTGAGAGGAAACCCCAGGCAGGAAGCAGTCCTCTCCTGCTTGTGGGGAGGCCTGTGCCGAAAACCTGGGAACAGATTCCTGCAGCACAAAAGAAACCTGGAGCATGAGGGTTCTGATCAACCCCACACTGCTCTGGCAATAATCTTTGCTGAAGTAATTGACAAGTTAATTTAGTATCTTCATTAGTAATGTAGAATGGGGGGGAAATTAATTTCTTTGTATTTAGATAGAGGTTGTTCCTTCTGCCTCTGCTCTGATTATCAAAGCTCTGAAGGAGCCACCTCGTGACAGGAAGAAGCAGAAAAACAGTAAGTGTTCCCTGGCTCTGGTTCTGAATATTTTGGGGCTAAAAGAGGAGAAATGCCAGTACCTTTCTCTGGGATTATTCAGCACACACTGGTAAATGGGAGACGAGGCTGTTTTGGGCATCCTTGCAGTGCCAGGGTACCAACAGATGCACATCAGCAGAGCTCTGTGTTTGAGGAGATCATGGAGTCATGGGCCTGGGTTGGGGGGGACCTTAAATCCCATCAGTGCCACCCCTGCCATGGCAGGGACATCTCCAGTGCCCCAGGGGGCTCCCAGCCCTGTCCAGCCTGGCCTTGGGCACTGCCAGGGATCCAGGGGCAGCCCCAGCTGCAAAGCTGGGGTAGAACGGGCCCCTGGGCCTGCCCTGTATCACACTGTTGGCACGGGGCCTGGCACAGCCAGGGGAGTTGGCAGGAATGCCAGCTTGGGAAGAGGAGTTGGGGATAATCTGCTGCAGTCCGGGAGCAGCAGCACTGGCAGCAGCCGTGCCGGAGCTGCAGAGCCCCGGCTCTCCCGTGGTCTCAGCGGTGGGGACGGTGCTCCCAGAGGAACTGGGGAGCTGGCGGTGCCCGGGTCCCTCACTGCCGCTGTTCCCTCCCAGTTAAGCACAGCGGCAGCGTCACCTTCGACGAGATCGTCAACATCGCGCGGCAGATGCGGCACCGCTCCCTGGCCCGGGAGCTCTCGGGTGAGTCCTGGCGCTGGGGCACAGGCAGTGCTCCATTTCCTGCCAGGGAGGGCTGCCAGCTGAGCCTGGGGGCTGGCAGCCCCAGCACCTGGGGAGGAGAGGAGCACAGGGAGTTGGCAGTGTGTTCCTGTGGGGTCCAGGGTGTGAGATCTGGGTGAGGGAATTGATGTTCCCTGGTGAGCCCTGAGGCTCAGCCTGCAAGCCCTGAGGGAAGAGGGACAGCTGAGAGCTGTGGGGTGTTCTCTGTCAGAGTCCAGACTGGTTTGGGTTGGAAGGGACCTTAAAGCTCATTGAGTTCCGCCCTTGCCATGGACAGGGCCACGTTCCCCTAGCCCAGGCTGCTCCAGGTAGGCTCCTCAGATGGTTCCCATGGTAAAACACTGACAGGCTGTGTCTGCTGCTGCAGGGACCATCAAGGAGATCCTTGGCACTGCCCAGTCCGTGGGCTGCAGCATTGATGGGAGACACCCTCACGACATCATTGATGACATCAACAGTGGTGCCATCGAGTGCCCAGCTGTGAGTACCCAGCTCTGACTGAAATTGCTGTACAACATCTAATTACTGAACGACTCCACTAATGAGCTGTGTTTGCTTCTTCCAACAGAGCTAAGACTGCAGAAAAGGAAGTTGCCACATGAAGGCTCCTTCAGTTTTTTGTAGCACTTTAAATACTAAAATAAAGACCCAGTTGTCTGCAAACATTTGTTGGTTTGATTTGTACCTGTCCTATGCTGTCAATTTTCCTTTGGGGAAACTCTCCATGTCTTCTGGAAATACAGCACCTTTGGTGTGGTGTGTCCTTGCCCATTCTGGATGGGTTGAAGCAGGGATGGAAGTGTGGCTGTTAAAAAATGGGGTGAGGAATGAGAGCAGAAGGTTTAGCCTTGCTTATGTAAAATGAGATCCATTGTGTCCTTTGCTCCCTGATGACATTTGCATCACTGCCCTGGTGACTTGAGGGCCACAGAGCCTGAAGTGGGGCTGTAGTGACAGGAAAAGGCATGATCAAAAAACCCTGTTTTTATCAAATCTATGAGCCCTGGCAGACATTAATTGTCCAGGGCGTGCCACTGTGTCCCTGTCAGTGTGGAGGGGAGCTGCACCCTCCTCACTCCAAGAGCAAAACTGAGCCATGCCTGACCTGGGTGTTCCCAGCCATGGGAATCCCACGAGCTCGGGGATCTCTCTGTCCCTGTGGTGTGGCTGTGCCTTGGGCAGCTCTGCCCGGGCTCCAGGCCTGTGCTGGCCCCTCTCACGCTGTCCCCAGCTCCACGTGCAGCTGATGGAGTCAAAACCAGCAGAAGTTTGTGGCTCTGCACTTTGATCTGTTTTCCCCAGCTGATTGTAGGGCCTTTCTCTGCAGCAGCAAGATAAAAAACAAATACAGCTGAAATTCCAGGCACTTCCATGCTGAGGGAACAGGAGCTGGGCCAGGGCAGCTCAGGCTGGAGCTCAGGGCAAGGCTCTTCCCCCAGAGGGTGCTGGCACTGCCCAGGCTCCCCAGGGAATGGGCACGGCCCCGAGGCTGCCAGAGCTCCAGGAGCCTTTGGACAGCGCTGCCAGGGATGCCCAGGGTGGGCTTGGTGGGGGTCTGGGCAGGGACAGGGGCTGGGTTGGGTGATCCTTGGGGGAGATGAGTGGCCACAGCTGAGGGGGCTGCAGAGGGCTGGTGGCATCCCCACCCTCCCCCCAGGCCAGCCTGGCTGCCATGCCAGGGGCGGGCTGCGTCCCTTCCAGGGGAGGCTTTGCAGGGGTTCCACAGCAAAGCTGCACAAACGCCTGGGGCAGGGCAGCTTGGCAGGGGCTGCAGCTCTGCTTTAAACTCACTTAAAATCTCTGTGCCCCGGTGTTGGAAACCCACTCTGGTGTGAGCCCCGGCAGGCTCAGGAGCTGTTCAGCCTCATGCTGTCTGGGCTGTTCTCCGTGGATTTCCCTCCACTTGGCAGTGCTGGAAACAGTTGGAAAAATGATTCCTCTTGCTTACAGGGAGTTCTCTGGGACAGGACCTGTAACCTTTCCTTTCCCAGGCTGCCCCAGGGCATGTGCTCTGGTAGGAGCAAAGCAGTGCTTGGAGGAGGGTTTGCCCTGCCAATAATTAGTATTTTCCAAATCATGCTTCTTCAAGACGAGGCAGAGGGTTCCAAAGATAACAACCTACATTAACGTCACATTTAAACCCATCTTCTTTATTTAATTTAGTATCTTTATTAATTATATAGATGAAGGGATCAAGTGCAACCTCAGCAGGCTGGCAGGTGACACCAAGCTGAGGGTGAAGTGACAAATCTGAGGGAAGTGATGCCATCCAAAGGGACTTGGACAAGCTCGAGCAAGCTCGACAACCTCATGGGAATCTCATGAGTTTTAACCCAGGCGAGTGCTGGAGCTGCACCTGGGTCTGGGCAGCTCTGGGATCAGTCCAGGCTGGGGATAAGCAGATGGAGCAGCCCTGGAAGAAGGATTCCACAAATCTTTAGGCTTTTTTCGAGGGAATGAAGATGTAGAGGGCACCCTGGGCTGAAATCTGAACAAAAAATTGCTGTGACACCCTCAGAGGTCCTGAAGTAACCCGCAGTGCTGAACGGCTGGAGGTTCCGGCAGTACCTGCCCGGGTGGGGAGTCTCTTGGGGCGAGCCCACACCAGCTCTGGGGTCGCTCCGTGCTGTCCCGGGCGGGCACGGCCGCACAGCAAAGCGCAGCGCGGCTCAGCGCTGCGCACGGAGGGAACGCCGGGCTGTCCCGGGCAGGGCCGGGAGCTGGACCCGCGATCCCGGTGGGTCTCCCCAGCTCGGGACCCTCCGATCCCCGCCCGATCCGGCCGGGACGCGGCTCCCCCCGCACGGCTCGTCGGGGCCGCGGGGGGCGTCCGAGCGGAGCGCCCGAGAGCCGCCGCATCCGCGCGGCGGGGCCGCCGCCGCCATGTGCCACCGGCACGCGAGCCGGGGCTCCTCGGCCCTGGGGGTGTCCCAGGCCCCTTCCCGGGGTCCCCGGGGGTGTCCCCGGCCCTGTTCCCGTTCCCGGTGTCCCCGTTCGGCCCCGGGGGGCGCGGTCCCTTTAAGCGCTGCCGCCGGCACCAAGCTTCCCGCGAACGTGACGTCACCGCCCGCGCCTCCCGCGCCCGCGCCGGGGCGGCGGCGGGGGCCGGGGCGAGGGGTCCGGCCGGAGCTGCCGGGCGGGGAGGGCCGTGCTGTGCAATACCGGGCCATGCCGGGGCCGTGCGGGGCCTTGCGGAGCCGGGGCCGTACCGTGCAGCCCCGGGCCGTGCCGGGGCCGTGCGGCCGCGCTGACGGCGCTCTCGCTGTGTTCCAGACCAAGTACACGCTGATCGACGAGCAGGACATCCCGCTGGTGGAGAGCTACTCCTTCGAGGTGAGGGCCCCCGCCCGCTGCCCGCGCTTCCCTCGCGTGGTTTCCCGGTGCTTGTGGCTCCCTCCCCGCCCGGGGCTGCCCCGGCCCCGCCGCCGCCCCCCCGCCCTCCGGGGCCGGCGCTGCTCGGGCTCCCGCTGGAGCTGCGGCTCTTTCCTTCCCTCGTGCCCCGCTCCAGCCGAGCGGTTCCGGAGGAGCTGTGCCTGAACTCCCCTGATTGGCGGAAAACGAACCAGTTTTAACTTACTGAAGTCCCAGCGTGGAGGCTTCCAAGTAGGAAAAGTTCTGGGTTTTCCTTTTTATTTTATTTTTTTCCCGATTACACCAACGTTGTTTTAAAACATCTATTTATTAATTAATTTTGTAGTGGTTTTGTTTTCATACTATTTGTATGCTTTTGGAGAACTGATAATTTGTCCTCCCATGGTTTGGCAAACGTTAAAAATGTTCACTCTGCATTTAGTCTTGGGTGAGGAAAACTTACGTTATTGTAACTGATTCTAGGACCAGAAAAAAGGGTTTCCTCTTCATACCCACTGGTAAATGGGTTCTCCCAAGGCTTTGAAAGAGAATGATTGCAAAACTTTCAACAAAGAAGGGTTTTTTTGGAGGAGGGGCCATCATCTGGTAAATTTCTGCAGCACAGTGGATGCTTTGGGGCTGCTCCTAGGGGTTTCAGGAGTTTGGGCAGTGCTGCTGCCAGAACACTCCCTGTTTGTCCATTCCTCCCCTCTGGCAGCCCCTGTGTCTGTCACTGTGGCGGTAACACACCCTGGCTGTCCCAAATGTATCGAGTTCTTGCTGTGCTTTGTGAGCTTTGAGCACCATCGTGGAGTGCAGGAAGATGTGGAAATGCAGGAAAAATGACAGACCCTCACCCTCCCAGCGAGGTGGGTGTAGGGGCAGTGCTGGAGCAAAGCCCTGGGGGCTGCCCAGGGGCAGAGTGTGGATCCCAGAGCTGCATTCCTGCTGTTCTTTATCCAGGCAGCCCCAGCTCCCCCTGCCCTTTCCCAGCCGGGCTCCACAGGGTCCATCCCCACCACAGCCCCCAGGGACCCCCTTCTCAGGGGGATGGAGGTGCCCGTTGGGTTTCGGCACCCAGAGGTGCCAGCAGCTGGCTCAAGGAGCAGGGGAGTGCTGGGGGTGTCCCCAGCTGGTGTCCCCCAGAGTGCTGGGGGACAGGCTGGGCTGCCTGGGTCCCCCTGTGGGTTTGGGACAGCTCAGACCCCACCGAGCTCAAGGGACCTGCAGGGACAAGTGTGAAATGTGGGGTCCATCCCCCAAATGTGGGGTCCATCCCAGAGGAGAGGTGCTGTGTGCCCCGTGGGGTGCTCTCATGGCCTTTCCCTTCCCTCTAGGCTCGGATGGAGGTGGATGCTGATGGAAACGGTGCTAAAATCTTCGCTTACGCCTTCGACAAGAACCGGGGCCGGGGCTCGGGCCGCCTCCTGCACGAGCTGCTCTGGTGGGTACTGGAGGGAGCAGAAAGCCCAGGGCTCCCTTTGCTGCCCCAGCCTGTGAGGGGTGATCTCTCTGCCTGCAGGAGCCCACGGCCCCTCAGGAGAGTGGCAGACCCAGCCCAGGGTGCCCACAGGACTGTGGTTTGGGGGGTCCTCACACGGCACAGCCTGTGGAACATTCCAGGCAGGGAGAGCAGAGGCAGGTTCATGGACACCCTGTTTGCACCTGAGGAATGCTGCCCAGACTTCAGCTGGAGGAAGAACAGGACCTGCACCATTGGATAGGGGAAGACAAACCTTTGACGGTTTGGTGTGGGGCTTTTTGTCTGCTGAGAATTGGCAGAGCACTGGAGAGAGGGAACTCCTGATAACTTAAAACTTTGAGGTGGTTTTTATGGCTTTCTGCAAAACTGCCTGAGCTGTTGCTGCTGATGGTTCATTTCAGCTGCTGCATTTTATTTTCCATATTCTTGAAGTCCTTGAAATCCCTCACAGGGTTTACATTAAGTTTTAGGGGCCAATTTACTCATTTGTGAGAGCAGCTCATCCTCTGAGCTAACCTGTTGCTCCTTTGAGATGTTGGTGGGTTTGTACAAAAGGTGGGATCAGCTGAAGAAATCTTATTTATTTTAAAAGCCTTTTTGGAAAAATTAAGTGAAAATTAACTGAAAATTATTCAGTTCCACATCCTTGGAAGTCACAGTACCCAGGATGCCCTTTATTTTTCCTCGTTACCTGTTATCCCCTAGAACCAGGCTTTGCACACGAGGAAGGAGACAGGCAGAATATCAGATTATTATTTCCAGTCTGCTTATTAAATATGGATTTTAACCTGCATCTGTTAATATTTAATCTTATTGCACATAGAACTTTGTTGAAATTATGAAATTGGCTGCAATATGTGGAGCAAATCACTGACAGCTGCTGCTAACTGTGAACCTCACACAGTCATAATTATTATCTGTAAGTAGCATAAACAGCACCTGAAAATAATTCAGGTCAATTGTTGAAGGCTGTGCAAATGATGGCAGCCCAGCTATTTGTTTATGACACAGTCCAGCCATTGCCTCTCCTGGCTTGTTCTACTCAAATTAGGAAGTCATTTGAGCATATTCAGTTAGGAAATTCAAATTGTGTCACTCGAGCATGGGCTGTGGTTAAAAATAAGAGATTGTGTGTAATGGGGATTTTGGAGAGGCACAGAGGGGGGTGTCAGCTGCCAGGCAAGCAGAGCTGCAGCTCTGAAGTTGCAGGCAGATTTCTGGACTAGAAAATATAAAATATCTCTGCCGTTCCTTTTAATTCATCCTGGTCCTGAAGGTGTTGCTGATCTTTAGTTGCAGCTCAGACAGTGCAGGTCAGAGGCTGAGTCTCTGCAGGGACTGTGAATGTTCTGCCCCCCCTAAACAGAGCAATTTTGGGGCTGCTCTGAGCACAAACCAGGACTGGAGAGTGGTGTCAGGTCCTTGGTGAGGAGGGGCAGTGCTGGAGCTTTGCAGCCTGTAAGAGTCAGGAGAGCTGGGCAGAGCCAGGCAGTGACTGCACTTCCAGCCTGGCTCCTTGGATGAATGAAAACCAAAGAACAGGGATTACTGCAGGTGTAAGTTTGTAATTCAGTTGTTCTCTGCTCATGAACCCCCAAAAACATGAAAAACCAACCCAATTGTGGGCCTCTGGTTTAAGGTACAGTGAGTAGCATGTGGTAGATGCAAGTAAAACAGACCTTTTGAATTATTTTTTATTCTAGTTAAGCAGGTATCTTTGTTCACGTCATGAGGCCCTTGGGATAGAAATCCTGGAGCTGCAGCAGTGACAGGAACCTTCTCCCAGAGCCCTCCTGCTGCCCTGTGCAGAGGCAACTGTGGGATCAAAAGGCATCCAAAGAGCTGGAAATTCCCCACATGAGCTGCACAAATTCTTACAGGGAGGACTTCCTGCTGATTCTTCAGCCTCTCTGGTGCTTGCTGTGATTTCCACATGGGGTCTTGGCTCCCCCAAAGCAGGGTTTGGGTGTCTCTGCAGAAGAGAAGTCTTATCCCCTCATCAGTTCCTGTGGAGCAATCCCAGCTCTGTGTTCTGCTGGTGTAGGGATGTTCCCTGGGGAACAGCAGCAGCAGGGGATTAGTCATAAGTAGCACCAACTGCATGTTCAAAAAGACATCCAGGACCTGATTTCTGGGGGTTTTTGAGGGTTTTTTTTTAGAGCACTTGCCATCTTGCTGCCTATAACAGGCTCAGTTCTGGTTCCTGGTGCTTGGAATTGCTGTGTCTGCACTTGTGTTCCAGTCCTGGGCTCTGAGCTGCTGAAATACCAAAAGAACAGAATCCAGATGATCCCTGAAAAGTCTTGGGGGAAGGGTTTTGCCTGGCATCTTGCAGGAGTGCAGGGGGAGGCAGAAGCTCTGGCTCTGCAGGAGTTGTGGCTGCTTTGCTGAGGCTGCTCACAAGGCAGGTTCTCTCAGCCTGTCCTTGCTGCTCCGTTTGGATGAGCTGGGATGGTCAGAGACAGGCCTGGGGAGGGGAGTGCTGTGTTCAAAACTTCCTCGATGTGTGGAGAGGAGGGACCACCCTGAATTTGGCATTACCAGTTCTGGCACCTCAGTGCAGTGGTTTTTAACACTGACTGCTCCCCAGAAGGCCCAACGTCCACCTTTACTTAGGCTTTTGTCACTTGAGGCCACAGAAGAGCTCGCAGTGATGTGGATAAAGGGGGTTTCATACAAGGAGGTAAAGACTGGCTCAGTGTGAGAGGGGATTTGGTCAGAATTTGCTTTTTGGAGTGTTGGGTGCAGATCTGGGCTGTGGAGGAGCAGGGATAGGTGTGTGCCACTCTGCTGTGCTACCCCAGTGTCAGGGACAATCTCTCATAATCCTCTCTCTTCCCCAACTCCAGCAGTTTCTAAACTCTCATTTAATAAAACCAAAAATATTTCTGAAGTTGGTCTTGGAATCCCCTTCCCTTTCCCCCCTGCACAGTCTGTTCTTGCTCTGCACTTCTGTCTCCTCCTCCCAGATTCCTGTCTCCTATCTGTCCCATCTCTCCAGCTGGCACTTTGTCCTAGGTTCTAAGAACCTTAACTCCTTCCCTGTCTCCATCTGGCTGATGCTCACCTCCAGCAGTTCACCACTTCTTGGAGCCCTCAGGACTCCTGATTCCCTTTGCCAGACCCTCTGCTGGCCTTCAACAACTCAAAAGTACATTACAGCTGTTACTGTTATGGCTTCCCAGTGCCAGAGGGCAGGGATGGATGGGACATTGGGAAGGAGTTGTTCCCTGGGGGGGTGGGGAAGCTCTGGAAGTGTCCAAGGCCAGGCTGGATGGGGCTTGGAGCAGCCTGGGGTAGTGGAAGGTGTCCCTGCCCAGGACAGAGAATGAGCTGAATTTTAAAGTCCCCTCCAACCCAATCAAGCTGGGATTTTGGGATTTTTCCTTTAGGGCACTTCAGCTGACTCTGCCGTAGTTTGTTTGTTTTAATGTGTGTAGTTTGGTTTCTTTTTCCCCAAAAGAAGGATTTTATTAGTTTTACCTTCAAAGGGAAGAACTTTTCCCTGTTCCATGGAGGCCCAGCACACTCCCTGGCAGGGGGCTCCAGGCTGTGTTCTCATGCAGGGTGTCCTCACAGGAATTACCTGGTGGCAGCTGGAGCAGTCTGTGTGCAGGTGCTGCTTGTGGCCTCTCCAAGGGGATTCTCCTCATTACATTATACAGTTTTGGGGCATATGTGAAGTGCAAGAGTTTTTCTTACCCCCAGGGTATAGAACTTAGACATATCTGGATGGATTTAGACCAAGAATACAAATCCTACATTTTTCATTGTAAGTCACGTTGAAATGAGTTTTCTGTTCTGCTGGGTAATGCTGAGCTTTATAAAGGTTAAAAAAAGTGGGAATGTTTAAACTCAGGCAAATATCTCTTCAAAATTAAAATAACTATTTGAGCTGAAATGTTCAGTGAAGGCTGAGCAGGACTCAGTGTCCAGGCTGGGCTTGTGGGAAGCTGTTGGGAGGTCTCCATGAGGAGGTGCTGGGTCACCCTCAGTGGGTGCTGTCAGCTCTGCTTGGTCCTTGTTCTGTGCTGGGAGGTTCCTCATGGCAGAACAATCACAGGGACACAGCCTTCTGTCCAAGCCTTGCATTTCAGCTGGGATGGGGATTCCTGCAAGAAGTGACACCAAAACTTGTCCAGGCATGAGGGTGTTTGACAGTGAACTGGATGTTTGATGAAACAGAGAGAGGAGAGGTGAAAAGAAGGGGGAAAGGGCAATGGAAACTCTTAGAAGGCAGTAGGGAAGATTCCCCCTGCAGCCATCCTGGCTTAGTCCTGCTTGGGGTTTTGGGCAAGTTTCAGGTGTCTCTTGGTCAATTGTGGAGTAATTTCAGCCTTTCAGTGTGTTACACACAATTGCAGTCTAAAAAGCATTTGCATACTCGGTGAAACCTCTGTCCTGTTGCTGTTCAGAGATGTTTCTCCATAAATAATAATCCCTGTGACACCACACCAGTGCCAAACTTGCACAAATCTGATAGAATTTCCTATGGAAATAATAAGCCAGTATTGGCACCTTCCAAGGAGCACTATAATTCTATGGATCATTAGCAGTAAGTGGAGTAGTAGAATCTGGAACTAAGCAACATGCTTAAAATGACTCTATAGTGTCTTTTGATTCAACTAATTTATAATTGCAACCACCTGCTGGAAAAAGGCACTTTCTCCTGGGAGTTGCCCTGTCTGAAGTAGCCACTGGAGTCTGTTTGCAGCCCAGTGCCAGCAGGTCCCAGCTCACATTGCCTCTGGAATTGCTGTGATCCCTTGTTCTTTAGCTGTTCCTGTTCAGCACTGACCCTCAGGGTGGTTTTGTGTCCTGCAGGGAGAGGCACCGGGGAGGGATTGCTCCTGGCTTTCAGGTGGTGCACCTGAACTCGGTGACCGTGGACAACCGCCTGGACAATCTGCGCCTCGTGCCCTGGGGCTGGAAGCCCAAGGCTGAGGACATCTCTAGCAAACAAAGGTATGCAGCACCTGGCAGGGGAATGAACATCTCTTCAAATGTTGTCTCCATTCTTTAGTGATTTTTGCCTTGCCAGAGCCTTTTTTATTAAAGCTTGGGTGCTTTACACATCACTGTCCTGTGGGGGCTCGGTCTGTGCTCGTGTCCCACCCATCTCACCCTCAGGGTTGTGCCAGGTGGAGCAGGAATCCCCTGTGCCCTCCCAGCTGGGCAGAGGCTCAGGGCAATCTGCACATCTCACTGCCTTCTGCCCCTCAGGCACCGAAATTCCAGTGGGGGCTGGGAGGTGCAGAGTGCTCCTGATGGAAGCTGTGAGTAGGGGTTGGACTCACTCAGGGTGAGTTCTGGGCTCAGCTTCCAGCACCTCTCACCAGCAGCTTGGGTTTCAGTTTCACGGGCTGGGTTTCAGTGATGCCACTCAGCACATCACACTCTGTGCCAGGATGGATCTGGATAATCAGTGAATATCCAGACACACGGTGAGAGACCCACAGACTTCACATCACGCTTCTCCTGGAACACTTGCAGCAGCAGCTTTAAGATTGGGGTGTTCAGAGCTGATTAAACTGATTCTGAGAAGTTTTATTGAATTACAAATACTCTACATGATTTTGGGGGTTCAAGAACAAGAAACAGACTTCATGCCAGAAATAAATTTTGACTTGATGTGAGTAATTTTGCACAGAATTAACTTTGCTCGATGTAAATGTTTCTTGATTGATACCTTTAAACTTTTGGGGTTTGCACTTAGGCTAAAGTAACCTTAAAAATACCCAATATATGATCTGTATGTGCAGTCTGAGGCTAAATACAATGTTAACCTTATTTATTAATAAATTTGGAACCAGTGTCTCTGTATGATTATTATGAATTGATGTACCAAACTTGTACTTGCTTTTTTCCAGGGAACAAAGTCTGTACTGGCTGGCAATCCAACAACTTCCTACAGACCCCATAGAAGAGCAGTTTCCTGTCCTGAATGTAACCAGATATTACAATGCTAATGGGGATGTTGTGGAGGAGGAAGAGAACTCCTGCACTTACTATGAATGTCACTACCCTCCCTGCACAATGATTGAAAAACAGGTGGGTTCATAGAGCTGGGAGTGAGCATGGAATGCCTTGGGCTAGGGGTCTAGGGATTTCTTTGTTATTTAAAATGTAGAGCTTTATGTGAGCCATTCAGTGGCTGAAAGCAACGATTTTCTTCCACTCAGGTTTTCTTTGGCCTGAACCTCCAGACCCTGTGATAGTTTTCAGTTGGAGGGAATGTGGGTTTGAGTTGGAGCAGTGGATGTTATAGGGCTGCTGGGAGGAGGGTGATTTCTGCAGAGTGCACAAAAAGCCAGGTGGGAGCTTTCCTGTAGGGAGCAGAGCTGGGATGAGTGAGCAGCTGTGTGAGGCAGCAGGAAGCATTGTAGGAGGGTTTGGATGGTTGTGGAATCAAAAAATAACCTGGTTACCATTTCCTGAGGTGAAGATGAATTGCAGTGGCCTTAATTCAGGGGAGAGCTGGGAGGAAAAGTTCTGCTGCAGGAAGATAAAGCAACATCAGGAGTGAGAGAATGAGCTGTGCAAGGGCTGTGCCCCTGTCACACAGATGCCTTATCTATAAACAAGGGCTTTTCTTGTGATAGCAGATGCTGAGTAGGCTAAACCCATTGTGTTCCACTTTCTGCTTTGGGGAAGGGAACATTTGCAAAAATGATCTCAAATTCCCTGTATTTGAAACAGAGGCAGCTCTGCCTTTTATTTGGGTCTGTGCCCAAAAGCTCCTTGGATAATAGTAACTTTGGCAATGGCTGAGCTTATGCAGCCCTCCTGATAATTTCTGAATTTCAGGTGCTTGTAGTTGAAAACAGAACTTAAGTTGACAAAACAGCAGTATTGTGACAAATGTGTAATGCTCTAGTATTTTGTCTATTAAGCCCATTTTAAAAGAGCAAATGTACAGCCACAGAAATTGCTTCAAACCCTTCTGGTTTTCTGAAACTCATGGTGGGGTGTTTGTGTTTCATAGACTCCCAGAATCCCAGACTGGTTTGGATTGGGACTTTATAATTCATCTCATTCCATGGGCAGGGACACCTTCTGTTATCCCAGGTTGCTCCAAGCCCCTCCAGCCTGGCCTTGGGCACTTGCAGGGATCCAGGGGCACCCACAGCTTCTCTGGTCACCCTGTGCCAGGGCCTCCCAGGAAGGATTTCTTCCCAATATCCCTCTCACCCTGCCCTCCTGCAGTTCAGGCTGTTCAGCCTCGTCCTGTCACCTGTTTTGTGACAGGCATGGAAAACCTGATCATGAAGCTGCTTGGGAATGCTGTTGGGTCCTCTTGGGAAAGCTGCTGGGGTGTCCCCCGGGAGTGATGCCGGGGCTCTCCTGGCCCTGAGCAGCCCCTCTAACTCCACCTTTTGTTCCCAGCTACGCGAGTTCAACATCTGTGGGCGCTGCCAGGTGGCGCGGTACTGCGGCTCGCAGTGCCAGCAGAAGGACTGGCCTGCCCACAAGAAGCACTGTCGGGAGAAGAAAAGAACCTTCCAGCAGGAGCTCGGCCCAGAGCGATGACCGGGTGGCAGAGGCCTCTCAGCAGCAGGATTCCTTCCCAAAGGCATTGGACTCTTGCTTTTGCACAGTATGACAGACTGCTTATCAAAGCCAGAGGCACTGAAGAAAAACCCTGTGATGCTTGAGCAGAATGGCTGACTGGACTAAGCCAGCTCTGACTGGTGCTGTGGAAAGGGATCGGGTCTGCCCTTCCAGTATTATATTCTCAAGCAAAAAGACTACTGTGGAGCTCCAGGCAGGAAGCTTCTCATTATTTATATGTTAATACGTTTGTAAACTCATGTACAGTTTTTGTTAGGAATTCTTGATAGCACTCATTAACTGTAATGTTCAGATGAGAACATGTTGTTGGCCTAAAAGTTAAAAAAAAGAAAAAAAAAAAAAAAAAAAAAAAAAAAGAAATTTTTATGGTGTAGCAAAAGCTTTTCCTCCCATGTGGCAGAAGTGTCTGTGGCAGTGCCAAGGCCGGCGGGGCAGGCTCTGGCATCAGCACTTACTCTGGAGAACTCTGCATGGAAGCTCTATTTAAAAAAAATACAAACAAAAAAAGAGCAAACAAAGTAAAGGTTGGAATGAATCCATGTCTGCTCTCTGGCTTTTTCCCCTTCCCTTCCAGCTGCCTCCAGAGCTCAGTCACCCTGGCTGCTGGCAGTCCCTGCAGGCAGGAGCAGTGCCCCAGGGTCTGGTGGGACCCTCTGGGATCTGAGTCCAGGCTCTGCAGCCAGGGCTGCCTCCCAGGGGCTGCTGGAGATGGCCTTGGAGCAGCCAGGATTTCCAGGGAGCAGGATCAGCTTTCTGTCCCAAAGCCCTTGCACAGAAGGCAGTGGTAGGGGAGCTCAGGTAGCAGCTGTGTGTGGACGTGGCTGCCCTCGTGGCTTCCCCATTGCATAGGAAACACTCCAGTCATGTGCAGAGATGTTTAAATATCTAATGTTGGGTAATTTGAATTATTTATTCACTTTTTTGAGAGTTGTCATCAATCCAAGAATCACTTTTTGATTTTTTTTTTTTAATGTAGTAATGAGTAAAAGTAGTATGGGAGGAGGATTTCCCTTGCAGAGCACATGCCTATTTTTCTTTTAATGAATAACCATTTTCTATATAATTTTTGCCTTAGAAGTGTAAGGAACATCAGTTGAGTTTCCCGAAGAGCTAAATGGATAATTTAGTGCCAGGTGTTAGTCTTGCTTCACAGTAGAAGGTTGTGAGCTGCTGAGTGCTTAATGCAGAGCCTTTCTTGGAGTGCTTAGTGAAAAATTTTTTGTAAAAGCCGTTTAGAATTTTGATTTTTCAATCAGGATTCACTTTGCCACTTCATGTTGCAATGTTGGTCTTGCTTGTATTCAATTTGTTAGAAAATTGATCTGCTGTGGACTTCCAATATTATATTCTGTTTCTAATATCTGCATAGGAAGTTCTGAATTATTAATACTTGGGTGGGTTTTCATCCTTTGGCTTTAAGCATCTTGGGAAATGGCAAAAAACTTTTGAAGCTTCCTGCTGGAAGTTCACTTGAAGGCACTTGCTTGAGTTGCCACTCTTAAACCACAGTTGTACTGTAACTTTTCTGTTCAGGCAGCCCAAAATGCCTTTCAGTATGACAAAACCAAGCAGGACCCAATCAAATTTTCCTGTAATGGGTAATTTTTTTTTTAAGGAAATAATAATTCTTTCCTTGAAGTGAAATGCAGTTTTTGATTAATGTAGAATGGGACATAAGGAATATTTTGTTCACTATTTGAGGTAATCCATTGGATGGAGCAGAAGTATTGACTTTTTTCCCTTGCCTGTTTAAAAGGCTGCTATTTGTCCTGCCAGTTTTTCATTTTATTACCAGGAATCATGTTTATCAAAACAAAGTGCAGTCTTAGAGCCCTTAAACACTTGAGCAGCACCAAGCAGGGGAAAGTTGGTGCAGATGCTTTAATGCTGCTGCAGTGAGGACAAGCACAGGCTGCAGCCCAAGGCCTGGTGGGGCACTGGGGAAATTCCTCTGAGGGAATCAGGGACAGGTGGGACTCAGGGAAGGGGGAGACAAAGCCAGGATGGAGGTGCTGGGGAAATCCCAGTTCCTGGGAATGTGGGAGGGTGGGGTGCAGCAGGAGGGGAGATGCCCAAGGGTTAAAGGGCTGTGGGATCAACCCAGGTGGAAAGAAACTGTCCAGCTGCCCAGACATCCTGCAAAGGCTCAGAGATAACACCTGTGTGTGTGATCTGTGACTCCAGACTGTCCTTGTGCCAGAGCACAGAAGTGGCTACAGGGATTTTGACTCTTGGGAAGGTCTTAGGGGCTGCAGTAAACCCCTCCCTGCCTGCTGGGGGGTGTGATCAGTGATTTGGCACATCTTGGCACATACAGACATCTTCCCTCTCAGTGAGGAGGGGCAGAAAGGAACTGGAAACCTCCCTGCCTGCTGGGGGGAGGTTGTGTGATCAGTGATTCTGGCACATCTTGGCACGTACAGACATCTTCCCTCTCAGTGAGGAGGGGCAGAAAGGAACTGGAAGGTGGCAGCTCCCCAAGCCACCCCTGAGGATGAAGCTCTTGTAAAGGCCCTCCTTACCACAGAGAACCCCAGCTGGCAGGGATATCTCCACATGGACAAGTATGGAAAAACCCAGGATTGGAGGCATTTATCTGGGAGCAGACCTGGACAGTTCTGATCAAGAATTGATTTTCCAGGGGCTTCCCCCGATGGAGATATTCTTCATCCAAGTTGTTTCCTGCAGGGAAGTCTGGGAAATCCAGCTCAGGGCAGGAGGCTGCAGCATCCCTGATGCTGGCTGTAACAGAGGGCTGCACACTCCCTGTAAACACACTGTGAAATGATGATACAGGTACCTTCCAGTGCTCCTTCTTATCCAAGCAGGGTGACATCACCAATCCCAATGTGCAGAAAACACAACTGGAAATCCTGGCTGGCTTAAGGAACACCAAATATGAAATACAGTGGATTGCAGGGCTTGGTGTTCTGATACTTGCACCTTGAAAACATAATCAGGTTATAGTCTTAGTTTTCCTTTGTGACTTAATTTTCAATGAAATGTATGATAAAAGGAGCAGCTGAAAGACTGAAATGTTTATGGGAGGCATGGAGATGGTGTGAGACACCACATGGGCCAGGAGCAAAGCTTCACCACCCAGCAAAACAGCACTGAGAGAAAAGGAGGCTGGTGTGATTAAACAGGAGCATGTGGGATACTCAGAGTAAGAAGAAATCCTTTGTAAACTGAACCTGTGTCCAAATGTGAGAGATGGAAAGAATAACATTTGGCAGGTGAAATGTAGTACAAGAAAGCAAACAAACCAACCCAGCAAAATAATGCAAAGAAAAACAGAACATGAAAAATGTTCAAGTAATAAAACTTGCATGAGTAGTTTTGGAAAAATCAGGAGCAGGGGGACTACTGGAGTCAGCAGAGACTGATGCACAGCAAAGGGAAGGGCTGACCTGAAGATGAAAGCCTCAGCAGAAGAAAATCCAGTGACTTGTTTGCATTTGTGTTCCCTGTGAAAGAGCTGGTGGAGTTCACACAGGAACACTTCCATACGGAGAGCTCCACAGGGAATCTGCTCAGAACAGAAGTGCTTTCAGGAGAGATTAAAGTTCAGCTGAAATGAGCAGCAACAAGTTGCCAGGAGCAGACAGTGCCACCTACGGCTCCAAGGGAGCTCAGGGATGAACAAGCTGAGCTCCCAGCTGGGATGGCGACCTCTCCCTCGGTACAATATCACAGCAAATGTCACAGCAGCTTCTGGAAGGAATTTCAAACTACAGCCACCTGCACTTTGTGAATTCATGGATGCTGTGATGCAGCACCAATGGCTGAATACCGAGGAGGAGTCAGTGTGGGTTCTGTACAGGGAAATCATGCTTCAAAACTTTAGTGGAATTGCTTCAATTCCAGGCATCAGCAAGCTGGGTAAAGGGGATTTGGTTGGGACAGTGTGAACTGCATTTAATGATGACTTTGCTCAAGGCACTTAAGGAAGAAAAGCTGCTGGTCAAAAAGGGAAATGTCGTATAGACAACTGTTTAAAAGACAGGAAAGGAAGAGTAGAAGGGAGGGTTTTTATGGTGGTGGGAAGTAAACAGCTGGATGTCCAATATATAAAAAAAAAAATTAGAAAAAAGGTAACGTATAATGAAACTGACAAGATCTACTGATTATATTATTCAGTGTAATGATAATATAATAAAGGTTGAATGAAATGCAGAAGGATTAGAGAGTGGGAGATGAAATTCAGTGTCAATAAATGTAGGGTTGATTTTGAGAAAACAGCAAACGGGCCGGCCTCGGCTGACTTCACTCAGCAACGAGAGCTTTGGGTCTGCAGGATTTCCGCCAGGGAACGGCGGCAGCGCAGGCGGCGGGAGAGGAGGGAGTGCAGGGAGCAGAACCGCCGTGGGACGGCTGCGGGCGCATCCCGAGGGTGCGGGGCCCGCCCTCCGACGGGGAAAGGACTGAGGGGAAGGGAAGGGCTCAGGGCAGCGACCAGGAGCGCTGCGAGGGCCGGAACAGCGCGCAGGAACGGCGGCACCAGCCCGTGTCTCCTCGGGAAGTGCCGGGGTGGGGAAGGTCTCTAGGCGAGGCGCTGGGAGGATGGCGAGGAAAGGCTGATCCCGGATTTCTCTCGTGAGCAGCTGCCGGGTTCAGGGCAGGGGTTCCTCACCGGGGGGCGCTGGAGCCGCAGCCCCTTCCCTCGGTGAGGACGCGCTGGGCCGGAGCTCGGACAGGCGAAGGCAACCCCAAAACCCCGGCGGAAGCCTCACGCGTGCTGCAAGCCCGGCCGGGGGAAGAGGCGGCTCCGCGGGGGCAGCTCCGCCCCGGGCCCGCCCTGACCGGGAAGCAGACGGGCGGCGGCCCCTCCTCCCCGGAGCCTCCCGGGAGCCGCCCCGGCGGCGCAGCAGGGCCCGGCCCGCGATGGCCGCGCCGTGCCGGACGCGCACGCTGCAGGTGGTGGACACGGAGTTCAGCGCGGACGCGGTGGAGTGGTGCCCGGTGGAGGGCTGGCACAGCATCCTGGCCTGCGGCACCTACCACCTGCGCCCGCCCGACCAGGTGAGCCCGGCCCCGCTCCGGGGCGAGACACGGCTCCGGCCGGTCCCGCTACCGAGCGAGTCCACGTCCCATCCCCGCCCGGCCAGCGCCTTTCCGGGGCGAGTCCACGTCCCCATCCCCGTCTCTGCCCGGTAGCGCTCCAGGGAGAGCCCCGGCCCCATCCCTGGCCGACACCGCAGCAGGGCGAACCCCCGTCCCCGCCTGGCCCCGCTCCGGGGCGAGCCCCATCCCCGGTCCTGCCGGTCCCCGCGGCAGAGCCGTGCCTTGTCCCGGCTGGGGCGGCTCGAGGCGGGGCAGTGGCCCCTCCGATGAGCGAGGCTGCCCCGATGGGGGCTTTCATCCCTCGAGGCTGGGACTGAACAAGTGCGAGCCTCAGCCCTGCTCCTCGCTCCTATCAGGATCCCAGGTGCGGGGGCAGAAGCGCGGCTGAGCTTGCCCTTTCCTTTCCCGTGTTTGCCACAGAGCGATTCCCGAGGGAGCAGTGGGGCCTGTGACCGGACGGGGCGGCTCTAC